GGCAATATTGTTGCGACATAGTGCAATCGAGCCTGGTAAATCACCAAAACCATAGTTTCAACAGGAGGATCAAACTGGCAAATTGCTTTCAACCACCGGCTCACTAGGGATCACAAATACATGCACAAAACCTGCACCATATATCATCATATGCTATTATAGAAGCTTCCAAGGTTCTACAATGCTTACGGGACCGGAGGTGCTACAATGATTTTTTTCATTCTAGAACCCTCCGTGTTTATCCCCAGGGGGGGGCATTCTAGAACCTTCCAACTTGGCGGTATGAAAAAGCATGAAAAAAAAAACGAAAAAATGGGGAAAAAAAACTTGGTCCGGACTCAATCCATATCATAGCGCACACCGCACTCTCACAGCAGTGCCCTGCACGGGAGCCCTGCAACGGCACCGTGCAGCGGCACCAGCAGGCCAGCTCCACAGCGCACATACCACTCCAACAGCAGCACCCTGCAGCGGCAGGACCAGCATGCCCACTCCAAAGCGCACACACCACTCCAACAGCAGCACCTTCAAGCAGGCCCTGCAGCGGCACACCAGATGCCCGCTCCAAAGCGCACACACCACTCTGACAGCGGCAGCCTCTTCAAGCAGCACCGCAGCGGCTCTGCAGCGGCACCCTGCAGCGGCGCCCTGCAGCGGCACCAGGATGCCCACCCCAAAGTGCACACAGCACTGACAGCAGCGCTTTCAAGCAGCGGCACCCTGCAGCCAGCGGCACTAGCATGCCCGCTCCAAACCGCACACACCACTCTGACAGCAGCACCCTCAAGCAGCACCCTGCAGCCGCAGCAGCATGCCGGCCCCAAAGCGCACACACCACTGACAGCAACACTTTCAAGCAGTGGCACCCTGCAGCCAGCGGCACAAGCATGCCCGCCCCAAAACGCACACACCAGTCTACAGCAGCACCCTCATTCAGCACCCGCACCCTGCAGCGGCACCAGCATGCCCGCTCCAAAGCGCGCACACACACAACTCTGACAGCAGCACCCTCAAGCAGCACCCTGCAGCGGCACCAGCATGCCCAAAACGCAGACATGCAACTCCTCCTATACTTGAAGTAAGAACCCCAATAGCTTCGCTATCTGGGGACAAGGCCTCCAAAGATGCCAAAGCCAGTCCGATTGGACGGGCTGCCACCCCGAAGTTCAAGCCAAGATCACCCTGGTCACGGCGCAAGCAAGTTGACCCTGAACTATTTCTCCATCTGGAGAGGCCTAGCCTTCACAGGAAAATTGGAAATCCTTGCCCACGTCGTTGCTGGTGGAAATGCTTTATGGAGAAAATAACGGGGATGATGTGTTTTCTAGCTAGGTGCTCTAGAATGCAACCACTGCATTAAGCGCGCAGAGAGAGCACCATCTGTTGGACAAACAGCCCCACTGCCAAAACATCAGAAGATCTTATTCATACGATCTCTTTGCCTTTCTCTTCTTTTTCTGCACTTGCGGCAGGGAGGACACATCCTGGCAAGTCTGCAAGGATGGGCCCCACAATTGATCCACAAAGGAAGGGACATGAAAGAACCAACGCTAAGAGTGGGGCTGTGCGACGCTGGTCCTCACAGCTTCAAGTTTCGATCAAAAAGCAGCTGCATTTGTGAGATGCCCATTGCTGTCGTCGATACACACACACACAGAAGCCGAAGCGCATGATTGATAGACCAGTATCGGCCAAACAGCAACCAGGTGGGATATATAACGGCAGTTGTGGCAAAACAATTGCGAACACGGAAATGTAGACATAGCAAACAACTGGAATCAAACATTGCTTGCAACATCTTATCCTTCTTTGATGGGACTTTGACGCTCAAAAGTTTAAGTAACTGCTACTGCTGCTGCTGCTGCTGCTGCTGCTGCGACTGCTGCTGCTGCTGCTGCTGCTACTGCTACTACTACTACTACTACTACTACTTCTACTTCTACTACTACTACTACCACCACCACCACTACTACTACTACTACGACGACGACTACTACTACTACTACGACTACTACTACGACTACTACTACGACTACGACTACGACTACGACTACGACTACGACTACCACTACCACTACCACTACCACTACCACTACCACTACCACTACCACTACCACTACCACTACCACTACTACTACTACTACTACTACTATTACTACTACTATGCCATATAGGGTCCAAGGCTGCCCAACATAGCTCCAAGATGGGCCATCATAGCACCATCGTTCAAGATGGCCCCACATAGCTGCAACCTGGCCTCAAGATGGGCCCAACATAGCCTCAAGACGGCCCAACCTTGCCCCAAGACGGCCCAACATACCTCCAAGCTGCCACAACATAGGGCTCAAGACTGCCCAAGATGGGCCATCATAGCCCCACCATCGTTCAAGATGGCCCAACATAGCTGCAACCTGGCCTCTAGATGGGCCCAACATAGCCTCAAGACGGCCCAACCTTGCTGCGCCAACATAGACCTCTGCGCGCAAGAACAAGAACAAGAACAAGAACAACAACAACAACAACAACCACAACCACAACCACAACCACAACCACAACCCACAACCCACAACCCACAACCACCACAACCACAACCACAACCACAACCACAACCACAACAAAAACCACAACCACAACCCACAACCCACAACCCACAACCCACAACCCACAACCCACAACCCACAACCCCCAACCCACAACCCACAACCCCCAACCCCCAACCCCAAACCACAACCCCAACCCCAAAACCCCAACCCCCCAACCATTGCTCCACTGTCTGGCCCTTTCCTTTTCCTTTTCCCCCTTCCTCATTCCCCATGGGTGGGCCCCTGGCCGGCTGTTGGGCGTAAGCCCTTAAATATATAGTCGTGAATTCATTGGCAAACTGTTGCTCACAAAAATCAAATACTCTCATCTCATCTCATCTCTCTCCCTCTCTCTCTCTGTCTCTCTCTCTCTCTCTCTCTCGCCCCTCCGTTGATCCGTCCACCCATTCCATCACTCATCTGGCCGTCTATCCACCAACCAACTAACTAACCATCCATCGTTGCCGGTCCGTCGGCCCCTGTATTTCATGTTGCGCCTGTGTCCGCGTGCATGTGTCAATGTACAGGGATCTCGGATGAGTCCCAGTCTCGGGACTCTTGGCGTTTTGGCGTTTGTCGCTGAATTTTTGCTGCAGGGAAAAAACTGTTCATGTTGGTGCCGGTTCCCTTTGGCACTGATGTGAGCCCCAGAAAAGAGCAATTGTAACTCGGCTTTTGGTTGTGTAGGGTGCTTACTACCGGAAGATGCTTCTATTCTAATTGATCGTGTCCATGCCAATTTGATCCACTTTCTGCATCCTGGGTGCTCAATGTATGTTGTCCTTTGGTGAATGTTTTTTGGGTGGCTGCTCTGATTGCCTTCTTCTAGAGTCAGTTCCAGAGCGCTCAGAGCAAATCATTGTGCTTTGCCTTCCTTATTTTCTTTTCCTTCGCTCGCGTCAAGGGCAGAAAAACACTTATGGATGTTCTTCTCTGGCAGGCTTGTGACACAAAGCACTGACACCAGTGAGAACCGGACCAGCAGTATGGCATGTCTCTGTCTGTGGCTGGTTGGGGGGTTGTTTGATGTGCTGGTATTGGTTGACTTCGGGAGGCTTGGTTAGTTTTGTTCTAGCGAGGTAGGCAAGGCTGAGGAAGTTGTCAACCCCATCGACATTTGCAACTTCTCGATGTTTCGTAGGACTTGGGACTCGAGTGGTGGGCTCACAGCGCACACAAAATAAGAATGCCAAATTCCACAGGGTGGCACAATAGTCCTGCACTGTGTTGGGTTGAAGCCCATCAAGCAAAGTGATCTGTAGCGAGCTTTGGCTAACCTTGGTTCTTCTTCCAATCAGGCACTGAAACTGTGAGAAAAAAGAAGTGTTGCAGCTAATCTTCCCCATCCCTTCAGAACAAGAAAACAAATCAGGCACCAGGCAGAAACGGCAAAGGTTGTGCGAAAGTCAAGCGAAGGTATTGCGATGTCTGCCTGAGATTCACACGCAGACATGCAAATCAAACTCTTGGCGCACATTATAACTCTACCTGCTTGTTTATGATGTGAGTGGAAATGTTCTATTTCACTGCCTAGTTTGTAGGGCCTCCGTTTGACCTACTGCCAGGTCAGAAATGTTCCGCTTCCAGGAGTGACGCTTGTCTGAAGAAAAAGTTGGACTGGAAAATGCCAAAAGAATGTGTATGTATACACAAATGACATAAAACTCACATATCTTACATGTCGTGATAGTTCGACAATCATGACAAGCTGACCTTGCACCAGCTCGTGGCATAGGCTGGCCAATTGCAATTTGTAGCATCCCCTGCCAAAAGCTTCGAATCCCATTAATTGATTTGCAGCGAGCATGCGTAGTTAGCTTTTCGTCAACGGTCTATCTGCCTGTTTGCTTTCACCCATCCACGTGCATGAGTTTATCTCCCTATCTATGCATGTACCTGTTTTCCGTTGGGCTCTACGTAAGCATCTACCTTTCTGTTCATTATCTTTCATCTACCAGTGACCTGTTGTTCCATGTTCTCAAATTATATGGGAAAGGATCCTGTGGAAGTGTAGAATCCTTCCCTGGCGAAATTCCTGACTAAGGCTTCAATTGCTGGCCTCCCGGCATCTTGCACCAGTGGAAGGTACCATCTTCAAAGATGTTTAGACAACAAAGTCTGAGCGATTGGAGTGTTGAGCATGGGTGCTATTTGTTGTTCGCCTCTGATGCTGGACCAAAAACAAAACTTCAATCAGATTAAGCCATGCTCAGATTACTTTGCCAGTGTCTGTGATGATTGCCCGGCAAGGTGATCTAGCTCAATGACTGGAACCCTTCAAATGGACATTTAACGGACCATGGGCCAAAAAATGATGAGAGCATCTCAAGTGCCATCGCACTTCTCAAAGGTTGCTCCCGATGCGGTGCGTGGCCGCGACCCTGTTAAATCGCATGCCTTCACTTCCTTCATCCAAGCTTTTTCAGCGACAATGCACTAGTGCTAGTGGCCACATTTGGACCCTCCAACCATTTCTTTGGGCAGAAAAAGATGCCTCGTGTCAAAGACTTGCACTTTTGGGTGCGTGGAAACATGCCTCTGGATGACACACCAAAGACGTGCTTTCTGTACAGAGGCCTGCCTTGCAGCACATTTCAGCTAGCAATGGCCTGCCCTGGCATGAAACATATTGCATGGTATTGCAACGTATTGCGGCATGGAGTTGGAAGGCACCTCCTCGACAAGGGGATGTGGCAACACCCAATCTCCGAATTTTGTTGTGGATCCCAGTCTGCAAAGCTCATGTATTCATTGTATGCATGTGGAATGCCAAGAATGCCAAGAGAAAAGGAACACAGAAGTAATCTGTGCGAGTGTGCGAGCGTGCGGGTGGATACAGCAAGCATGATGCCGTGACAAGTGTCACAACGTTCAATAAAGAAGAGCATAATAGCCAGCTGGATTTGCGGCACATACATGTCAGTCCCTCAGCATTAGAATGCGGAAGAAGACCCAGCTTTTTATTCTACAGTGGCATGGCATAGTCAAAACACCAAGTGTAAATGTAGCAAAGCAGCCAGTGGCCGTTGGCATCATATATTCATATCATGCGGCATGCGCCCCATCTCACTTCAAATTGAATATTAGGTATGTATGTATGTATGTATGTATGTATGTATGTATGTATGTATGTATGTATGTCTGTGTGTGTGTATGTGTGTATCTATGTATGTATGTATGTATGTATGTATGTATGTATGTATGTATGTATGTATGTATGTATGTATGTGTGTGTGTCTGTCTGTCTGTCTGTCTGTCTGTCTGTCTGTCTGTCTGTATGTATGTATGTATGTATGTATGTATGTATGTATGTATGTATGCATGCATGCATGTATATATATATATATGATTATATATGCACACAAACAGCCACTAGCGACACATGAGTCTCTTGCCTCAACACCCCCCCCATGCACTGTTCAAGTGCGAGTACTCAAACGTATCAACATTGAGATGAACAGCTTAGAGGTTCTTGGACAGTCAGCTTTGAGCAGCCTCACTGCTCTTCCAGAAAATCTGCTTCCCTCTGCGGTTCCTGCACCAATCGGTACAGATCTGTCTGTTCAAGTTCAAATCTTAATGCAGTGCCTATCAAATGTGTTCACGTGAGTCACATAATTATATACACATGTATAATATGTATCTGTAGAATCCATAGGTCGTCAAAGCAATGTCTCTATTCAAAGCCTTCCCTCTGAAGCCTTGCTCCGTCCTGGATGCCAACATACAGCCATACAGACAAGATCCCACCGAGTCGTCCGATGATTTTGCACTCGATGGTGTAGAACACATCCTCGAACCGGGACAGGGGACAGGGGTCACAGCAACATGGACCAAAATGGACCAAAATGGACCAAAATGGACCAAACACCTGTTTACTGACTGTACATCTGTTTACAATCCTGTTTCATCCTGTTTCCAATCCACGGTATCGCCACTAAGCTGAAGCATGCCGAAGCCCCTTCCTCCTCGTCGGTATCTATGATTTGCTTGTACCTCAGCTCCCCATTCACTTCCATGGTGTCTCATGATGCCTCATGATACCAATGACTGAGTCAAGCGTACAAGTTCCTGCCACTGAAGCATCCAAGCATCTGTTTGATCTGCATGAGGTATTGTCGAATGCTTTCCTGATCTGACGTACAGAAGTGGACGGGGAAGCCTTTGAACTTCTTGCCACGCTTGATTGGGAAGCTGTCCTGGACAGGTTGGCCACCAGAGCACGACCAACTCTGCAACTCTGCGTTCATGATATGTCCTAGCCTTTGTCCGAATCGGACGCGGCAAACATTTGCAATGTGCAACACCATTCGAGGCATGCCTGTTGTTCCCTGGTGTTTGTACAACAAAGCTTGCCATGTGAGTTCATGATTCCAATTTTCATTTTGTGCCTCCTTGACTCTTTGCTTTTTCAACACCACCTCCCCTCTTCCCGACCACGCTCCCAGGAGGTTTCCATGGCTATTGCTTTTTTTCCCTTACCTTGGCAAACCCTTGCCGAAACAATGCAAATCACCAGTCCGTCCTCCTTTTTCTGAAACTCGGCGTGCAGCTTTTCCAAAGTTCTCCAATGATGTTCCTGCTCTTTGACATAGTCCTTCCCAAGGCAGTGGTCTCTCAAGAACACTCCGATTGTGAGATACTGAGAACTAGCAAGGATGATGCTTGCCCACCTTGCGGCTGTCAAAGAAGGGAGAACCGTGACGATTCCAAATACGGAGTTTAAGGATGTCGCCTCACAAAATGTAGCCAGCAAAGGTGTCTTGTGCAGCTCCAAAACTCAAGATAGAGGCGGCAACCAAATAGTGGCCGACGCCAAAACTCTGAGGTGCCAACCCACAAAGCGATGAAACCTCAGCCGGTGAGCCGGTGACCCAAGCAAGCCCTTTGGCATCCTTTGGCCCTTCAGAATTATGTCAAAGCATTTCAATGCATCTCAAAACTATTGTCATCTGGCACTCTGTTCGAGACATCTTGGATATACTGGCATGGATTGATCTGAGATTCTTTTGCTGGTCAGTCATTTGATCTCGAGGCATGTCCCGCGGAAGCGCGTTGTACTCTGAGAGCACCCTGCACAAGGCATTCAACTAGCGGACTAGCGACGTTTGTGCAGGAAGTGAACTTGCGGAATGAAACTAAAAAAACAAGTCAGATGCTTGACTTTGCAAAATTGTTTCATCTTGCAGCCTCTGCGCTGTGGGGCTGTCTGGATCGATCTGCCGCCAGAGTTCATGAAGGTCAAGGAAGATTCGAAGTTGCTGCATTAGCTCCTTTCAGGTTCAAAAGGATCACGCAGGGCGCTTGCAGGGCGCTTGCAGGGCGCTTGCAGGGCACGCAGATCACGCAGAGCTGAGGGACGCAACCTTTCATCCAAGCCGTCTTGGCTGTTCGCTATGGAATAGCAGTTTTGCCCCGGAACGAATTCCAGTTTAAAGGCATACCCGAAATATAGTTCAAATGGTCTGACAATCACAAGACAACTGAAATGACTAAAGCATCTTCTGAATATAACATTCTAGAGGACATGGAGGCAGGTCTATGCTTCAACTGGAGCAAAAGACTATATGGACTTGGCAGAAGTATTCTCGAAACATGATTGCACATGATCAAAAAGCATGCTACCTGCACAAATGGGCTATATAATTATATAATTATGGCTTGTTTGGCAATGCTTGCAGACTACCAGGGTTTTGCCTGGTTTGTACTGCATCAGCTGCAGGCCTAATGTTCGTCGGACCCTTGGAAATATGTTGCGCAGAATCTGGAATGGGATTCCTCGTTGGCACGTATCTGTGCAGGGACCTATCAACATAGACAGTGCATCCAATGAATGCAAACTGTCTCTATTATTTACCTGTGCGACTGCACAGCAGATCCAACATAAGCATGTGATCATAGCCTGTGATTACGACCAGCGGAGCATTTTAACAAGTGCCCCAATCAATGTGACTACCTGAGAGCCAGTCACCTTGGCTGAGCTTTGACATCCTGTAATTCCCTTTCGACTTTCGAATGCTTCTGAGGTTCTTTGCAATCGCGCTCTGACTTTACTTCAACAGGGTGACCCACACCCCACTCCCACCGTTGCACGCATTGGATTCCGTTAGATGTCTTTACATGACAAAGGTGGGCGAGCTTCGGATCTCTGCTCCAGGAAAGTATGGGAGCTGGCAATCGCCACACCAGCATCCACTCCAATGATTTCAAGTCTGGATATCCATCTTATATGCATTCAAAACTGCAAAGACTTGGCAGCTCTTTCCTCTGTAAGGTGCATGCCCGGTATCTCAAAGCGAGAATAGGCATCTTCAAGTCCAATTAATTCAATTGCGAAGGTTTGAGATGATTGTATCATATTGTATCAACATGAATGTTTCTGGATTTGTGGAGGTGCGTATCCATGCGACACTTTCCGTTTTTCATGTGCATTGCACTTCTCGGCAACTTGCTGTGCTTCTCCAAGGTGTGACAAAGTGTCTACAATGAACAAGGCTCTCACCATGCACAGGTGACAGCAAAGAGTGACAACAAGGCCGAAACATACCGAAAATGTTCATAATGTTTACATTTTGAAAATATAATATATATATATATTACATTATTAAAATAATTATAAACTTTAAACACATCTGAAGATAGATCAGATAGTCGTTCCAGTCCTCGTTGTGGTCGAACATGGTGTCCATCCCTTTTTTGCCCCTGTAGAGCTGAAGGTTCTGCATCATCTCTGTGCCTTGGGAGATCCAAGTGATAACCAGACACTTATTTTTCCATCAAGATAGCCAGGACGGTCAGGACGTGCATATACGTTTACATTGTTTACATATACATATGATGTGTGTGTTTGGTCCATACTATACATGTCCTAAACCGTTGCTGACATTTGGTCACAACCCCTCTTCACTGCCGAAGTGTTGCTTTCAGCACTGCGATGATGGATCAAAAAAAAACATTCCCCAGACTCGGGCTGTCCAGATTCAAATCGCACACGCATAGTCGAAATTTCTCACCCGTACAAATTACTTCAGCAGCCTTGAGGGTGGCAGAGCAACATTCTCGATCTAATAGCTTGAGCATGTTTGAGCACTATCTTCATGACTAGGCAATTTTAATTTCTATCCATTTTAATTTCTAGTGACAAAAGGCCAAGCACTGCCCCATCTCCACTTTTAAAAGCAGGGTGCGCAAATCCTCCTGGAGTTCATCGATGATTGAAGGTTTGAGCTCAGGCTGTACGGACACGTTCGGGCAAATGGCTTGGAAGTGCAGTTTCCTTGCATCTCACAATCTGAAAGGATGAAGCAACCATTTAGAAACAAACATAATTCTGAAAAATTGTGAAAAATTGACAGGTGAACAGATTGAAATCAGCATCTGTTCATCTTCAGAACTTAGAAATCTCTCCCATGCTGGATTCTCGGGGTTTTCTTCCGCATCGTCCAGATCCTCGAGTGCAGAACAAAACGACATGATAGCCACATCTTGTCAAAAATACAAACTCTCAAATACTGTTGGAAATGACAGCGCAGCATAGGCACATAGGATATGCATGCTGGATGGTGATTTTGCCGGTTGGCCCAGGTGTTCTTGTCGTTGAAGACCACCTGTAAAAATGGTTTTCGAACTGGTGTGATGGGGATGTCAGCACGCGACCACAGCAAATGTTATCTAAAGAGGCTGAAAGTATTGGGATCGCGAATGACCGCAATCGCTGCCCGTTGGCAAAATCATCCAGAATGTGACCCTTTGCGTTGTTTCCCTGGAAAAAGGTTTGCTGGCTGCCTTGCATGCTGCAAGAGAAATATCGGCTGAAAAATGTCCCAACGCATTTCAATAAATTTCACATGACAGCAAGGTCCTGCGAATTTGTTTGTTTTTTTCATTTCAGGAGCGCATATAGTGTACTAGGGTTGTTTCTCATGAGTACAAGAGTAAGCATTGTATATCTTGTGATATCTTGTGGTTCATTTCTGTGAAATTCAGTTGAGAGATGTTGAGAGCCTCGATTGAGTCGTACGGCAGCCATGTTACCAGCTGCTCTTCCTGGACCCACAGTGCTCAAGGCCACGGCCATGACACAGGGCCACAGGGTGCCAAAGTTTGCCGAAACAGAACTGTGAACCCAAGGCCCCACCGGCCCCACTGTCCGTGTCCTGCAACATTTTCCTCTTTGGAGCAATCGGGAGGCCCTGCGCCAACTTGCCACCAGGACAGGCACCATGAACTAAACAATGTCGCATAGGTATGTACATGTTCAAGAATTTATGAAAATGCGAATGGAATATGTTTTATGAAGAAATTATATAAAAAATTATGCACGTAAATACATATACCCACATATGAATAGGAATGTAAATAGATACACGTGCGCGAATACATATTATATATATATATAACATATATGTATGGTTGTACATATGTACATACGCGTGTGTGGGCAACGCGTGTGTATGCACAATTTGCGCACATTCATTTTACCTCTCCCTATGTACAGGCATGGATACATCACATATCTGCATACACACTCGACCAAGTGCAAGAAGAAATTATATAGTAACTGTTGCGCGCTGTGACCCTTTGTGCACTTGTGATATTAGGATATGTTTGGATATGTTTGGAAGGATTCCTCTAGTGACTAGTGTTGTCCCATCTCCGGACAACGAAATTTCGGAGTATGCAGTGAAATACTAACTCAACGCAAGCTCTGTTGTTCATCAAGATCTCTTGATTCATTGATTGCAGCTGTTGGGCCTCTCGTTGTTCTATGAGCTCTCGCTTCAAACGCTCTCGACCTGGTTCCTCATCTTTCTTCTTCGCCTTGTCGGATCTCGTTTTCGGCTTTGGCCTCACAGCCGGGGCCAGAAGTTGGACCGCAAACACCTTGGAACACTTTGGCTTCTAAAAGAAATCTAAAAGAAACTGTAGCAATTTGTAGCAATTGACTAGTTCATGTCTGTTTCTATGCACGGCTACAGCGGATTACACTGTGAGCCCAGCATGCGCCCCACTGTAGGCAAACTCTCCATGTCTTCTAGGTGCACACGGGAATCTTCGGCTTCTCCTCAGTGCAAACACCAAAGATCTGCAGCAGGAGGATCAAATGTCCAAGCAGCAAAGACCTGTTGTGACTAACCGCACGAGCCTTCCCACTGCTGCCTTTCCAACTCTGCATCTTCATCCTGTTCTTCCTCTTCTTTCTCTTCCTTCCAGAAGTTTCGCCGCAAAAACGATGCAAAGATTTTTCAACCGTTTGAAAGGGACAAAAGGCCAGTGGCAACGCTCTGACGCAGTGTTTGCTTGGTTTACCTTCAAATTTGCTAAACCAGTAACCAGGCACTCCTGCGCACTACAAGTATCTTAGGCTTCAGGCCCACTATTGCCTCAGTCACTACAATTCGTTCGAGCCTTGACTGCAACTTGGTCGGTTTTCCGTCTTTTTACCTTTCTCGGATCGTATCGGTTGGGCAGGTGGAAGATCTGTCTGCTGCAGGGCTCCCAAAAGGTGACCCATCCTTTCTCACGAGTCATGACCCACGTGTGTTCAATGAGCTGATCTGATTTCTCAATGGTTGCAATCGGATCTTTGGAGTACACGGTTCCTTTCACCACGTATGCGTCTTCCTTACATCCCAGGAGCAACGAGCACAATAGCACCGAATGATCTTGTGGAGCACCCTTCCGTCTGGCAAGAACGTATTCGGGGTCTTTCCAGCCATCTTGCGGAATCAAGCCCATGCGGGCTTGGCGCTGAGAAATCTCAAACGACAGGCAGTGAACCCACTCGAGTAGCTTGGCCGGAAAGCTCCATTCCTCTGGGATGATGATTGGTGACACAAATGCCATCAATGGAGTTTCCACCCTGGTGAGTGGATGCAATCCAATGCAGGGGAAACGCCGCAAAGAATCGGCAGTTTGCATCATGTTTTCCTCTTTTGGTTTCTTGGCACCGATAGAATCCGGAAATGGCAACGCGTAGTCTTCCGCCTTTTGCAGATTCCTGGAGTTCCACTCCTCGCCTTTCTTTGCCCATACCGACTCCGTATCGGCCTCTTGCACTTCATCTTCGAATCTCAACGTCTCAGCCCAGTCCGGGTAGAAGTATGCTTCAAAATGAATTAAAGCAGCATCTTTGTTCGCGAGAGCTGACTGGCCAAGAGCTGTCTTGCTACCGTCATACACTCGCACCGATCTTGGCTCCTCATACCATTGATTGTGTTTTTCCTGCTTCTCCTCAAGCTCATTCTCGTCGTCTTCATCGCGCTTCTCAGCCCGCAAAGCTCCCAGCAAAGTTCTTTTTTGGGTGGCACGGACATTCAAAATATCACCCAAAGTCACTTGGCACCCACCCAAGCAGTCTGCAGATGTAACATCATCGTCCCAAACTTGTATTTGGATATGTCCCTTGCTTGTAAGCTCATACTTCAGAATGCTGTCTTGGTACTTCTTTTCAGCCTGCACGTGCAAAGACGGGAGGAGCAAAGTCTCTGAGGGGCAACAGTGAAAGATAGTGAAAGATTTGGCCCCATTGGTTGAGTCTGTCAGGCAAGTTCCCTTGGCACCCTGTCATCAAGCCAGTACGCAACAGACTTGGTCCAATAAACTCAGCGCCTTTGAACCCATACGCATTTCCGGAAAAACAACCTCGACAAAGTGAAGGATGTGCAAAAAGAATCAAAAAGATGCACTGATACTGTAGAGAGAATAGGTAAGAATAGTCTAAAACACATCTAGGCTGAGAGATGCTGAGGGCAACTGGTCTAAAAGGTCGACATGCTTAGCCAAGGCGCTCGTACAGGGAAATAGAAACTCTGATTGAACACGGGGCGCAAAGATTGCTTGACAATTGGAGAAAGCATCACCATGTTGTCCCAGGTGCACCGCAAATATGGATCCTGTGCAGAGGATTGCACTGAAGTCATCCAAAAGCTCGAGTGTAGGATTGGAAGTACAAACGCTTCAACCACTGCGCAATTTCTCTTCAGAATGCCAGCTTTGGGGTTCTTGCAAGAAATCAGTTTGCTCACTGTGCATTTGTTTTTTTCGCTAAATCTCTGCGTGTTTTGCCATTGTTCCAAACTGTTCACTGGATAAACCTGATCATATCTGACAATATATGAATTTTACCGATACCTGTTAGTATCGGATAGTATCTGTAATATCTATTAAAAATTAATATCTTACAATATCTTCTAACATCTGATAGCGGAATCGGAACTGAAAGCGAGTGGAATGGAACAGAGCGGAAGAGCTTACCAAAATGTGTCAAGCGTCTGAGCTGCCAGTGTCAAAGTCTGCCACTGGAAGGCCTTCGCATTTTTTCACACCTTAAATCACAGCCGCCAGGCTGGCCATGTGCCGTCATAAACCGCCATTGGCCATAGACCGATTAAATCCACGAAGCTATACGAAGTCCGTCTCCCAACGCGTCCCAACCTCACACTGCAGCCCGGAAGCGGACCACCAAATAGCGCTCGTACCGGTTCAGATGCGAAACCTGCAAGATGGGTTCGTCGCAAGAACACGGCAATTTGAGCCACCTCTTTAAACCCACAAATCAATGGACATCCCAACGCATCCCAATGCACCATAGCAACTTGTAGCAAGAAGACATGTACCCTCCAACCGGACGTTGCTCCACACCTCAAGAGAATCATCATCATCATCATCATCATCATCATCATCATCATCATCATCATCATCATCATCATCATTTTCATCATCATTTTCATCATCATCATCATCATCATCGTCATCATCATCATCATCATCATCATCATCATCATCATCATTTTCATCATCATCATCATCATCATCATCATCATTTTCATCATCATCATCATCATCATCATCATTTTCATCATCATCATTTTCATCATCATCATTTTCATCATCATCATCATCATCATCATCATCATCATTTTCATCATCATCATCATCATCATTTTCATCATCATCATCATCATCATTTTCATCATCATCATCATCATCATCATCGTCATCGTCATTTTCATCATCATCATCATCATCATCATCATCATCATCATCATCTTTCTGGTGCTTGATAGGGAATGGGGGAATGATCCAAAGGATTCAATCCATATCCTCAACTTATCTTCATAAAGGGATTAAATTTTGCCACCCCCTCTGACTTATATGTTGATGATAATAAGAACATGAACTTATCTCGTTGAGGGATCAAAATCCGCCACCCCCTCTGACTACTACGTTGATAGGGATCATTGCATCAACTTATCTTCCTAAGGGATCAAAAATTGGCACCCCCTCTGACTTATATGTGATGTAATATATGATATATGTGCTACGTACTATTATATACTTTGGCCACTTCTGATTCCGACGCGGAGCAACGTAGGGGTTGCAGCGGACATGTACCAAGCCACCATTTAGTTCAGAGCGTCGTGGGGAACTAGAGCAAGAACCACAACAGATTGACAATTGGACAGAACAGCCCGTATGTCAAGGTGCTGTAGTGGCGGTCTTGAGCTGCTCAGGGCGATTGGTGCGAAAATCCAGCTCAGGTTCCTCCATAGGGTGATCAATCATAGGCACCAACCAACGGAATATTGCGCTGACAATCAATCAGCCAGCAACAGTTAGTAGCTCGTGGTGACAGAACAAATGTGAGATCTAAAGTCTAAAGATATTCGAAATCGAGCGGGGCGAAACTCGGCAAAGGAAATCAGGAAACCAAGTTTGCTACGTAAGTTAAATTGTCGTAGCGAAGCGAGCCCTCCAGAAACGAAAGATTGGTCTACTGGCCCACTCAGGTTAGAGAATAGAGTATGCTGCAGTTTGTGGTACAGTATGCTGTATGGTATGCTGTACAGTCTGTACAGTATGCTAGAGCTGCCTTCATCCCCTTGGAGCGCAAGATGCATTTCACATTGCCATTGATGTCACCAACAATGTACCGATCGTGATCTGGGGTGAATCGTTTGACCTCAGAGCACACCGAAGCTGGATAGAGTTTGTTGTTGGACTGGGGCTTGAGGCGGCCACTTTGCCCTGAAAAACGGACATATCCAAGACCTTAGGGCACATCTTCGGCACAATGATTCTTATGGATATTGATTTGCGTAATGCGTTTGCACATGTTTGCACAGGCTTGTCCTTCATGCAAGACTCTGACTGCGCCATGACGTGCCAAGGAGATCCAAGGAGCAGATGTGAGATTTAGCAGGCAGCGACCCAGAACTCGATGTGGGGCTGGCGCATGCTTTTCTATCTTTGCCACCGTCCTGGTGTCAAGCCCAAGTTGCAAGCGCCACAAGTATTGGAAAATTGGACAATCCATCAGCTGATATCAGGTAAAAATTAGTCAAGCCATTCAGGTCTTCGAGTCACAAAGGTTTTCTGCAGCCAAGCAACGCATTATTGGCCAGAAAAGCTGGCGGTTGTCCAGTGAGGACAGACACAATGAAGTATGAATTTTGCAAATGAGTTCGGGTGCCACGGAAAACGAACTTGCCACAGCTCGGCCAGAAGAAGCGTCCATCTTGCTGATTCCACTCCTTGGCAAGTGGGTGTTGTGTCGTGTTGTGTCGTGTTGTGTCGTGGTTGGGCAATACCTGAGCCCAATGGAACTGCCGGAACTCTCAAGCTTTGTCTCCAAAACAAATGCTCCCACCCCCTCAGTCCGTTGAGAATTAAAACAGTTTTGAAGTAAGCATCGACTGTCTGAGAAGCTGCACCAAGTCCAAGATAGCCCCTATGGCCAGGCAGTGTTCGTCGGTCCTGCACTTGTGTGAAAATCAAACTATTAACGAGGTGACGAAAGGGGGCAAGGAATACTATATAAATTGCACCAATAAGATTCTGAAAATTCCTTAAAAATCCTTGAAAGTCCCTAGGGGCTATGTCTGCATTCTGGCATTCACTGCAAGAAATGCTGAGTTGCTTGTTGCTTGGCAAATCTTACCATCACCTCCAGAGCGAAAATGGCAGCAACGAGTCAACACAAAGAAGCAACACAACCTTCCACTTCAACTTCTTCAACTCACTAAGAAGCTACAATGGAGTGGCACTTGGTAGTGCACGGAGAGTGTGAGAAAATGCGTGGTACTTTTGCATCAAGTCACACAGTTCTTGGATTGCAGCGAAATCCTGCGAAAATAACCCGACAAACACTGACAAACACGAGCAACTGAGCCACTGAGGCGGTCCCTGGGCACTGTGAACGTCAAGCGCTTCCTTTCTTCCTTCATCTGCTTGTGCTCTGGGTTTGCACGACTCAAATCCAATGTCCAGTTCTCACCTCAGATTCTGATGAATGCCAAGTGGATTGGCTCACAAAGTCAAGGAATTCAACTAGAAAAGTCTGGGAAGCATGCAAAAAGCATGCAAATACACTATGGGTTCGATATGGAATCCGCAGCTGCACCAAGGCACAAAACAAATCAAAGTCAAAGATTTCTTCAAGGTTCACCGTGCATCTATACAGTGCAACATCCGCAACTGATTTGGCTTTCTTCTTGTCGGCCATCTGCTTTCCTCAATATAAAATGCGTTCCAAATGCGAGTTGCAAACTAACTGGTTGGCAGTCATTTTTGCTACTCCACGCGACTAAGTGACTGACGGTCAGATTGGTTGGGAAATGGATAAAGGTTCACACAGTTCGGACATCTTTGTTTGGATGTATTTTTTGCCTCATAGCCTTTGCAAACAAAGGTCGTGAGAGCTTTCGAAGGGTCCGTAGCTCCATGTTTGGATCACGATTTGCAATTTGCGAAAGCTTCTGCTTCTTCACTCCATAATACTCATTAAAGGTCCAGCAGGAGACTCGCCACATGTCAACTTTCACGACATGCTTCTCCAACTCCTTCGGGCCAAAAAAATAAACATAAAAAGACAAATGTGCAGAGCGCCTAGGGTGGCACTCTACTGCAAATTGAGTTTCCGGATCCTGAAAGGCCCAACGAAAATCCAAAGGCTTCGTCCCGTTCCAAAGCAATGCTCAAGTAGCACTGGGTGCTACAAACGAACTTAGGCCAAGAACGTCAAGAGTGAAAGGAAATTCCCGCAAGGCATGACACTGGATCATACAAAGGACTGAACCTCATGCGTAAGGGAGATTGAGCTCCATTTCAACCACATGGGATCAACTACTTAGATATATAATTAATTACTTCAATATAGAGTCATATAGAGAGCCAGACTATCGAAATCACACCGGCCTTCCTATGCCGCAGCGCCCTGGCCTTGTAACACAATGCGAATGTCTTGCGTTCGTACATGACAATTGGATTGTCTGCAGTGAAAACCTTGCCCTTCTCCAGCGTGAAAATAGAGGAAAATCTCGTCTGCAAACGCACCTTGGACTTCAGGCAGGATACCCACGTGGGGGACCCACATATCTCCCAGCTAAGAAGGATGCATGAAAATATGATCCAACTGCCCCGCAACTCAAGCTTCACAGTATTTGCAATCAGCTGGCTCGATTTCGGTGCTTCTTTGGGTTGTCGCTGCCCAAGGAAACAGTCCAAAATAGTTTGAGTGTTTCGACTGTGACATTTTCGAAGCCGCGAATGGAAAAAGTCAGTTCCCACCAGCGCATTCTTTCCATTGGCTCCTTCATGTCCTCTGGATTCTCCTGGCTTGTGAGTTGCAGGGGTAAAGATTCAGACCGAGCATGCATGGTACACGCCATGCTGATTGCTTTGAAGCTAAGAAATGTGTCCAATAAGAAAGCACCTCCGCGTTTCCGAAGAGCTTTGGCATCCTGAGTCGTACCTTCCTGGGCTGCAGTATTGAAAACAAACACATGCGTAGCCTGCTGAGCAGGAAAGGCGCTCACTCAAATGCGGAAATCCAACTTGAATCAATGGCCTCCAAACGTTTGTTCGACCTTTAAACCAAGAATTAGTTTTCACCACTTTTGACTGCTGAACTCAAAGCCTCCGGGGTGTCCTTTGCTGCTGGAAAAGCGTCTTTCTGAATACGAACCAAACAGTGATTGGACTTGTTGAATTCGTGCTGTTACAAGTAAGCGCAAGTAAGATGGGAGTGGGATGAGTCGGATGAGTCGGATGAATGAGTTTCCTTGTGAGCCATGCATCCGTTTGTTCGCAGAAGTTTTCACCACATCTCCTTCACCTTCACCTTGAGCATCGTCACCTTCCAACAGAATTGTCTTCAATATGCCTTCAATATGCAGCAAAAGTTCTTGCTGCTGGACAAGTATACGTCCTACGTAGCATAGCCCTGTTCCAAGAACATGGATCTTCATGGATCAGGCATGTAGGACTCCCTAATCACAAACATTCGAAGAAAACCACACAAAAAAAATATTCCATGACAAATTTATCAAAGAGGACGTGGGATCGTGTCAATACGTTGGATAGACAATCTGACAAGCAGCCATCACAAGCACGCAGCTTGCCCATTACATCACACGTGTGCTGCCTGGGGTCATCTCAGCCTGTGGCGCTTCAATTGGTTCTGCTGCCTCTCCTCAAGGAGGCGAATGTCCCAAACACGGCCAACTCGTTCAGGCTACGCATGAAGTTTTCAAAAGATTGCCATGGGTAGCTTCAAATGTCCCTACCAAGAATTTCAAGTTTGCCAAAGTAATGGTTGATTTATGTTGTTTATTATTTGACCTATGTGACCACCCCGACCAACCGACTAGTGACTAGCCGCCATGGCCAGCTGGCAACCTCTGTCGAGTTTTATCTCTTCATCGCTCTTTGTCCCTCTATCTCTTATCTCTATTGATCTGTCTGTCTGTCTGTTCGTCCGTCTGTCCGCCCGCCCCTCCTTCCCATCTGTGCGTCCGTTCATGTCCGACCATGTCTGACTATATCTGTCCGTGTGATTCTGTTTTTTATCTATCGGTCCGTCGATCTATACCATCCTATCTGACAGCCCTGTCTGTCCTGCATTTTCCTACCTATCCGGGGGTTCCTATCGATCTATCGATCTATCTATCTATCTATCTATCTAATCCAATCCCATCCCATTCCATCCCATCCCATCCCATCGAATCGAATCGAATCTAATCTAATCTAACCTATCTGATCTATTCCACACCTACACTATCTAATCTATCTATCCTAGCTACCTAACCCATCCTATCTCTCTATATAGATCTATCCTAGCTGTATACAGGTAGTACCGCACAAGGCGGCGGCGGAAGTTTCAATAAGCCCAAAGAATATCCCCAACAGCAAGAAAGCAGCGGCCGTAGATCCCAAACAGTAATTCCATATAAGCGTGGTAGCTTTTGTTTCATGACCAAGCAATGCAGTGCATTTTTGCGCCGTCCTACCGCCGGCTTCCCCTACTACTACTACTACTACTACCACCACTACTACTACTACTACTACTTCTACTTCTACTTCTACTTCTATACTTCTATACTTCTATACTTCTATACTTCTCTACTTCTCTACTTCTCTACTTCTCTACTTCTCTACTTCTCTACTTCTCTACTTCTCTACTTCTCTACTTCTCTACTTCTCTACTTCTACTTCTACTACTACTACTACTACTACCACTACCACTACCACTACCACTACCACTACCACTACCACTACCTACTTACTACGTACGACGTACTACGTACTACGTACTACGTACTACGTACTACGTGCTTACTGCTTACTGCTTGCTGCTTACTGCTTACTGCTTACTGCTTACTGCTTAGTGCTTAGTGCTTACTGCTTACTGCTTACTGCTTACTGCTTAGTGCTTACTGCTTACTGCTTACTGCGTACTGCGTACTGCGTACTCTGTACTGCGTACTACTCCGTACTACTCCATACTACTCCGTACTACTCCGTACTACTCCGTACTACTCCGTACTACTCCGTACTACTCCGTACTACTCCGTACTACTCCGTACTACTCCGTACTACTCCGTACTATACTACTCCGTACTACTCCGTACTCCTCCGTACTCCTCCGTACTCCTCCGTACTACTCCGTACTACTCCGTACTACTCCGTACTACTCCGTACTACTCCGTACTACTCCGTACTACTCCGTACTCTCCGTACTACTCCCGTACTACTCTCCGTACTCCGTACTCCCGTACTCCGTACTCCTCCGTACTCCTCCGTACTCCTCCGTACTCCTCCGTACTCCTCCGTACTCCTCCGTACTCCTCCGTACTCCTCCGTACTCCTCCGTACTCCTCCGTACTCCTCCGTACTCCTCCGTACTCCTCCGTACTCCTCCGTACTACTGCGTGCTACTGCGTACTACTGCGTACTACTGCGTATTACTACTGCGTAGTACTACTGCGTACTACTGCGTACTACTACTACTGCCTAGTACTACTGTGCGTACTACTTACACTGCGTACTACTGGTACTATACTGTTACTACTACGCGTACTACTGCGTACTACTACTGACGTACTATACTGCGTACTACTGCGTACTACTGCGTACTACTGCGTACTACTGCCTACTACTGCGTACTACGTACTACTGTTACTACCTACTACTGTACCTGTACTACTACTGCGCTTACTATTACTGCACTACTACACTACTGCGTACTACTACTGCGTGCGTACTACTACTGCGTACTACTATGCGTACTTACTACTATTGCGTACTACTCCTGACTACTACTGCGTACTATTACTGCGTACTACTACTGCGTAGTACTACTGCGTACTACTACTGCGTAGTACTACTGCGTACTACTGCGTAGTACTACTGCGTAGTACTACTACTGCGTACTACTACTGCGTAGTACTAATGGTACTACTGCGTAGTAGTACTGCTGCGTACTAAGCGTAGTACTACTGCGTAGAACTACTGCGTAGTAGTACTGCTGCGTACTACTGCGTAGTACTACTGCGTACTACTGCGTAATACTACTGCGTACTACTGCGTAGTACTACTGCGTACTACTGCGTAGTACTACTGCGTACTACTGCGTACTACTGCGTAATACTACTGCGCTGCGTAGTACTACTGCGTAGTACTACTGCGTACCAGTGCGTACTACTACTGCGTACTACTGCTGCGTACTACTGCGTACTACTGCTGCGTACTACTACTGCGTACTACTACTGCGTACTACTACTGCGTACTACTACTGCGTACTACTACTGCGTACTACTACTGCGTGCTACTACTGCGTACTACTACTGCGTACTACTACTGCGTACTACTGCGTACTACTACTGCGTACTACTACTGCGTACTACTGCGTACTATAGGTACCAATACTGCGTACTACTGCGTACTACTGCGTACTACTGCGTACTACTGCGTACTACTGCGTACTACTGCGTGCTACTGCGTGCTACTGCGTGCTACTGCGTGCTACTGCGTAGTACTACTGCGTAGTACTACTGCGTACTACTGCCTACTACTGCCTACTACTGCGTACTACTGCGTACTACTGCGTACTACTGCGTACTACTGCGTACTACTGCGCACTACTGCGTACTACTGCGTACTACTGCGTACTGCTGCGTACTACTGCGTACTACTGCGTACTACTGCGTACTACTGCGTACTACTGCGTACTGCTGCTTACTACTACGTGCTACTGCGTACTACTGCGTACTACTGCGTACTACTGCGTACTACTGCGTACTATACTGCGTACTAGTGCGTACTAGTGCGTACTAGTGCGTACTACTGCGTACTACTGGGTACTACTGCGTACTATTGTCTACTACTGCGTACTATACTGCGTACTATACTGTGTACTACTGCGAACTATACTGCGTACTACTGCGTACTACTGCGTACTACTGCGTACTACTGCGTACTATACTGCGTACTATACTGCGTACTATACTGCGTACTATACTGCGTACTATACTGCGTACTATACTGCGTACTATACTGCGTACTATACTGCGTACTACTCCTTACTACTCCTTACTACTCCTTACCACTCCTTACTACTCCTTTTTTACGCCTTACT